AAGGCTTTGGAAAGGACAATCTGAAAAATGTGAAATGTGTTGACTCTCTAGCATGGTCTCACATTTAACTATCAATGTTTGTTCTATCAAGTGTGAATAAAAGTCTCATAGGAGGTCATGGAAAACAGATCAGATAAGGGAATATTACTGATTCTTAGCTATTGGCTGCTTTTCTTGTTGCCCTAAGAAAATAAAAAAACTAAAGAAAACCTAAAATAAAAATATACTGTACAATCCTGTACATGTCTAAACAGAAGTCCCACTGATGTCAATGGGACCTTACTTCCAAGTAAGTAAGATTGCAGCCTTGTTTATCTCAGTGGTTTCCAAAATAGAGAAGATTTACTACTAATTAATTATATACTTGCAGATATTGCTTAGAAGTTTTCCTTTAAACTCCTGACTCCTCCAAATTCTATGATGATTCCTGGTATGTACAGGCAAGATCTCCTATGATTAATCACCATGCAGACTGGAACCTCACATTATCACATATCTAATGTGTTACTCATCTAAAGAAATGTATGATTAAACTAGTGGGACTACACCCATGAAAGTGGTCAATGAATCTTCCTCTTCAACTATCACAGTTAGCAAGAATGCAACAAGCGGGGGAAAAAAAAAAGACTTGACCACACAAAATCATGCTGTTGCTGACAGCCATGCACTGTTTTAAACCATCGTCATATATGGAAACATTAATAACGAAAAATAGTCATTTCTGTTTCTTGACTTTGGTCCTTAGTCATGATGTTCCAGCTTCAGGATGATGCAGAACAGAAAATGGGTCTGCCTTTGTGGGCTATCAACCATTAGATCTTCAGGTCAAACACAATTAACTCTACAATCTTATACAATCCCATTTACTGGGGAGGGAGTCCAATTATATTCAATAGCACATTTTTCCCTGAGCAGACCTGTTTAGGATAACTTTAAGTCAATCTCACACCAAATGGCAGCATGTTTTTCTATTTTACTTCATGACTATGGTTCAACATATTTGACTAGAGTGGTCCTAAACATCAGATTGAAACACTGTTGAATTCATAATAATCTGTACCACCATTCTGATAGTTTAGGCTTGTTCAGTAATATTTCTGTCTAACCACTTGTGTAACTCTTCCTTTTGATCTCAATGAAATCCAAGCCTAATAACCTTCTGGAAACATTTGTATCAAACATGGTTTGAGCTTGCTGGAGTTAAGATTATCATTAAAAGAAATTCCAGACATTGTGGCGATGTTTTCTACCACATTCATTTTTAATTTAAGATGAAAATTTAACATTCACATCCTCAAATCTTGTGGAAGGGGATGCTTTA